TGTTGAATGCTTTTCCCTACGCCTATAGAGATTCACGCGCTTTCTAGGCACTTGGCGGCAAAAAACGGCCGAAATCGTAGGCGCCGAACTTTTTTTCGCGCAAGAACCAGGCTGAAAAGGTTGTAGTATGTGTATTTGAAGATGGGCCACTCAAATAAGCAATAAAATTCAGGTTGTTAAATGCTTTTCCCTACGCCTATAGGGATTTACGCGCTTTCTAGGCACTTGGCGGAAAAAACGGCCGAAATCGTAGGCGCCGAACTTTTCTTCGCGCAAGAACCAGGCCGAAAAGGCTCTATTATGTGTATTTGAACATGGGCCACTCGAATATGCAATAAAATTCAGGTTGTTGAATACTTTTCCCTACGCCTATAAGGATTCACGCGCTTTCTAGGCACTTGGCAGCAAAAACGGCGGAAATCGTAGGCGCCGAACTTTTCTTCGCGCAATAACCAGGCCGAAAAGGTTCTTGTATGTGTATTTGAACATGGGCCACTCGAATATGCAATAAAATTTAGGTTGTTGAATGCTTTTCCCTACGTCTATAGGGATTCACGCGCTTTCTAGGCACTTGGCGGCAAAAACGGCCAAAATCGTAGGCGCCGAACTTTTCTTCGCGCGAGAACCAGGCCGAAAAGGCTCTAGTATGTGTATTTGAACATGGGCCACTCGAATATGCAATAAAATTCAGGTTGTTCAATGCTTTTCCCTACGCCTATAGGGATTCACGCGCTTTCTAGGCACTTGGCGGCAAAAACGGCCGAAATCGTAGGCGCCGAACTTTTTTTCGCGCAAGAACCAAGCCGAAAAGACCCTAGTATGTGTATTTTAATATGGGCCACTCGAATATGCAATAAAATTCAGGTTGTTGAATGCTTTTCCCTACGCCTATAGGGATTCACGCGCTTTCTAGGCACTTGGCAGCAAAAACGGCCGAAATCGTAGGCGCCGAACTTTTTTTCGCGCAAGAACCAGGCCGAAAAGGCTCTAGTATGTGTATTTGAACATGGGCCACTCGAATATGCAACAACATTCAGGTTGTTCGATGCTTTCCCCTATGCCCACAGGGATTTACGCGCTTTCTAGGCACTTGGCGGCAAAAACGGCCGAAATCGTAGGCGCCGAACGAGCGCTCCTTCCCCACCTCTTTAAATAAGGTTCTGCAGGGCATTTTAACGCGTATTTTTGCGAAAACGGTACCGAACCCGCACCGGTATAGGAGATTGCAAATCAGCCGGGGATTTTTGCACTCGATCGTGTTCGTTGAACCCCCCAGACCTTGCATGTCGGTCTCGACTGCAAATGTGCACGAGCGCGCCTTCCCCACCCCTTGAAATAAGCCCCTCCAGGGCGCTTTTAGGCATATTTTTGCGAAAACGGTACCGAGTATGGGAGATTGCGAATCACCCACGGATTTTTGCACTCGATGGTGTTCGTTGTACCCCCCTTGACCTTGCATGTCAGTCTCGGCTGCAAATGTGCACGAACGCGCCTTCCCCACCCCTTGATATAAGCCCCTCCAGGGCGTTTTTAGGCATATTTTCGCGAAAACGGTATCGAGTACAGGAGATTGCGAATCAGCTGGGAATTTTCGAACTTGATCGTGTTCGTTGTACCCCCCCAGATCTTGCATGTCAGTCTTGGCTGCAAACGTGCACGAGCGCGCCTTCCCCGCCCCTTGAAATAGGCCCCTCTAGGGCGATTTTAGGCATATCTTCGCGAAAACGGTACCAAGTATAGGAGATTGCGAATCAGCCGGGAATTTTTGCACTCGATCGTATTCGTTGTACCCCCCCAGACCTTGAATGTCAGACTCGCTGCAAACGTGTGTCAGGAAGAATAGGAGCGTGGCCTAGGCTTAGTAGCCTAGGCCACAGTAGGAGGTAGTAGGTTGTGCCCTAGGACTAGGGTTTGTGGTATACGAAGGAGAATTGGAGAAGTGAGAATGGGAATGATGATGTGAACTAGCAAGCAGCAGGATACATATAGGAAACCCTAAGGGGTTGTACTCACTATTGAGCACCCCACTACAGGCTAGAGCATAATATTCTGACACACCCCCATAGCCAAAGTGGGGTGTAATCAGCAGAGCAAGCAAAACAGTACAAGCTCAGGGTGGATCACAATGTCACCACACATTCTGAGCACAAGTTCAAGAAGCAATAGTTTAAAGTTCACAATTATGAGCAAAGCCAGTGGTAGTCACAACGGGCAAGTGAGGAGGAGGAAAGAGACTATGAGAGGAGAGGAGGTAGTGGGCGGCAGCTGAAGCTGCTGGCACACGGCGCAACTGGAGCAACTGGCACACGGGCAACTGGAGCAACTGGCACACTGGCAACTGGAGCAACTGGCACACGGGCTACTGGAGTAACTGGCTCCGCGGCTGAAAGTAGCGGCAGACGAGCAACGGACTCACGGGCGACTGGAGCAACGGGCTCACGGGCGACTGGCGCAACGGGCTCACGGGCGACTGGCGCAACGGTCTCACGGGCGACTGGAGCTGCTGGCTTCACGGCGGCCACCCCCTTCAACCTCCCCAAACTATCCCACTCCCCCTGACACACACCCGCTGCTACACCGCTAGCTCCACTCCCCCTTCACCCCCCTAGTACCACTCCGACGGCTCCAACAGGTCCACCCCCCTCAGCGGCAGCTGCAGCACAGGGAGACGGAGGAGGAGGAGGAGCAGGGAACGGCACACAGAAGCTGCACCCCCATACCCCCCACCCCCAAACCCTAATCCAGGAGTACGGGCAGAAGGAGGGGTGGGGCGCCTTCAGAAGCACGGGGGACAGCGGGGAGGACAGGGGCAGCGAAGAACGGGCCGCCCACGGGTCTGGCACAGCCTCCCGAACCGCGCGCAGGCGGCCCGAGCCGCGCGCGGGCCTGGCGCAGCCCGTACGGGCCGCACGCGGGCCTGGCGCAGCCCGTACGGGCCGCGCGCCGGCTGTACGGGCCGCGCGCAGGCCACGACGGGCGACGGGGGGCGACGCGCGGGTCCCCGTCGCCCGTCGCAGCGCCTCCCGGGAGCAACGCGCGGTGTGACGGGGCAGAAACCCGCCGCGCGCCTCGGGGCGCACGGCGGGCAGAGAACCGCCGCGCGCCTCGGGGCGCACGGCGGGCAGAAAACCGCCGCGCGCCTCGGGGCGCACGGCGGGCTGAAAACCCTAATTTCAACGCCGCGTACCACGAGGCGCGCGGCGGACAGGGAGTAGCAGTAGCAGCGGAAGCAGTGAAGTGGTGGGCCCACAGGACAGGAGCGTAACCGCTCTGTTACCATGTCAGGAAGAATAGGAGCGTGGCCTAGGCTTAGTAGCCTAGGCCACAGTAGGAGGTAGTAGGTTGTGCCCTAGGACTAGGGTTTGTGGTATACGAAGGAGAATTGGAGAAGTGAGAATGGGAATGATGATGTGAACTAGCAAGCAGCAGGATACATATAGGAAACCCTAAGGGGTTGTACTCACTATTGAGCACCCCACTACAGGCTAGAGCATAATATTCTGACAACGTGCACGAGCGCGCCTTCCCCACCCCTTGAAATAAGGCCCTCTATGGCATTTTTATGCGTATTTTCGCGAAAACGGTACCGAGTATAGTAGATTGCGAATCAGCTGGGGATTTTCGCACTCGATCGTGTTCGTTTTAGTTTTTTTACTTTTATACTTTTCATACTTTTGTACTTTTATACTTTCCATACTTTTGTACTTTTATACTTTCCATACTTTTATACTTTTATACCTTTATACGTGTTACGATAGTAATGAATGAAACTGTGCACTCCTAACCGCAGCTAAGGGAAGTACGCAATATGGAGAATGAATGCGAGGAGTCAGAGTTGACTCGAAGCGACACACGGTTAGGATGGATCTGGACCATCGGAGCAGACGGCATCGGGCAGCTGCAGGCAAGAGGAATTTGGCGGGAACAGTTTCGTAACTGTACGCGCCGCACGGTTGGGAATGAATTTGAATAAGGGAATGTACCCCTTAGAGTACATGGCTAGCTAGGTCGATTCGAATTCCCCTGTACTCATATTTATATCGTTGTATTTGCATGTTTTAATTCATCTCAAGCATTTTACATTCACTCTGCTATTGAGGTCAAGGGCCCACCACTACTACCTAGCTACGTCGAACCTTCCCGAGGTGATCCTAGGGTCGATCCATTTCTGATCGCAACATGGTATCAGAGCGACTCGGGAATCCTTCGCACTGCTAACTCCTAAATTTTCGATGACGGAAAGTGGTGTCCGGCACACGCTCGCGTGTGAGAATGGCCGGAGGATCTGGTGGTCAGACGAATCTGACGGCTGAAGCGCAGCAAAACCCGGATGCGACAAGCGAGGAAACGACGACGATTGGGACTGCCGTCCTCGCACAATCGCTTCAGCGATTCACCAGCCTGGAGCAAGGACTCCAAACATTGCGGGCTGACGACGCGGGAACTTCCTTGCAACCCTCTCAACCGGCCTCAAACGGCCAGATCGCCACCCCATACACCTTCTCCCTCGACACGAATGGCTTAACCCCCAAGACTCCCCGTCCCAGCGAAGAGGCAATTCTCTCCGCGCAATCAAGGTTTCTCAGCATATCAAAAATAAAGACAAGTGTGTGCTTTGACGACAGAGACTTCTATACCTGGAGCTTCGAGCTGGAGCTTCTGCTGCAGAACGGCCAAATCTTTCATTACTTCGACGGGAGTTACGTGGGGCCCGCTGAAGACACGGACGACGCCAAGGCGAGATGTTGTTTTGTAGGGCAAGGTCAGGTACAGTCACCATAATCCATTGTTACCGTATGCCATAACAAGATACTCGAGCAGGGCCGCACTTTCTGTGTGAGACTCTAGACTTCATTGATTTCAAAGCATTTGCTTCTAGCCAAAGATAGTTGGATTGTTCTAATGACCGATACTTGTTTGTACAAGTGCAAAGCAAGAAACACAAGTTTTCTCTGCAGTCTGGCTGTCTGTGTCCTACTCGTATACCTGTAAGAGATATGTTAGGACAATTGCAGAAAACGGAGGGAAATGGAGGCTGTGCGAGTCAAGCTCCTGACCAGCACTCCCCAAGCTGCCTCCGCTGCTGCAAAGAGCACAGGGACTTGTGGTGGGAGGTGGGGCAGAAGGGGTCCCGCCACCCTGATACAGTCACGCAGGAGCGTGACTGTAGCGGGGGTGAGGGCGGGGAGGGCGACAGCACATCTGACAGCAGAGGGGAGGGTGGAGGAGAGGAAGTCGGTTGCAGCGGCCGTGTGGGTGAGCGTGTGGGCGAGCAGATGAAGCACCTGGCGTGGATTGGGGGGCAGAGGGGAGGGGAACGCGGGGGGCACAGACAAGGAGAGGAAGTCGGTGGAAGCGGCCGTGTGGGTGAGGGTGTTCGCGAGCAGATGCAGCACCTGGTGTGGATTGGGGGGCAGAGGGGAGGGGAACGTGGGGGGCACAGACAAGGAGAGGAAGTCGATGGAAGCGGCCGTGCGGGTGAGTGTGGGCGAGCAGATGCAGCACCTGGTGTGGATGGGTGGGAGGTGGTGTGGTGGGGTGGCAGGGTGGGGGGAGGGGGTGAAAAAGGGGATGAATAGGAAGAGGAGAGAGAGATGAAGATGAATGCGGTAGTTGGAAAACGGGTGGGATTGATGGGAGAGGAAGGCGGCTTGACAGCTGAGGTGAGGGCTTGCGAGAGGGTTGGAAGGCAGCAGTGCCAGGGACCGCCACAGCAGTAACGAGTGAGAGTAACGACGGCCTGATGGGAGAAGAAGACGGCTTAACAGTGGACGTGAGGGCTTGCGAGGGGGGGGTGGTGCAGGGAAGCTGGACTCACATGAAAGGCGAGCGGCAGGGCGTCAGGTGCATCGGTGCAGCACACAGCATACCCAGCCACCAGAGCCAACCCCATGATGGATGGAGGGGACGAAGGTGGTGCATCGTAGTTGGACTCACATGGGAGGCGAGGGGCAGAGCGTCGGGTGCAGCACTGCAGCACACAGCATACTCGGCCACCAGAGCCACGGCCATGAGCTGGCGCGACATGATTGGCTGCTGCAGCAGCTCCCGTGCGAGCGCTGGGAGAAGGGAGCGCGTGGCTGGGGAGGCTGCAACCAGGGGAGGTACACATGTGAGCGAAAAGCCCTGCAGAAGAGGACAAAGGGACGGAGGGAACGAAATACAGAGATGCGGAGGGACAGAATGAGATCATTAATCGGGGAAGAAGGGCATGTGGCACATTACCAAGGACGCCTTGCATGTGATGGGGGGACGGCTTCCATCAAACATCAACTCGGCGGCAGGAAGGTACCTGGAAGGTGAGGAGGCGGAGCAGCAGCGGGTGTTGGGCGATGAGACAATCCAGGAAGGCCAAGAGCATGGCCTGGCATGCTCGCACTTCACTACCCTGCTGCCCCACCTGCCTATGAGATCGCTCAGAAGCATACCTGGAAGGTGAGGGAGATGATCTGACACACCCACACATCACTGCCCTGCTGCCCTTGAGAATTCTCTCAAGCGCGACTCAGATGTGGTACCTGGAAGGTGAGGAGGCGGAGCAGCAGTGGGTGTTGGGCGATGAGCTGATCAAGGAAGGAGAGGAGCATGGCCTGGCATGCTCGCACGTCCCTGCCCTGCTGCCCCGCCTGCCACCGCTGCTTCTGTAGCTCGTGCCTCTGTTGCTCACGCTTCTTCCTCCATAGCCCCCCTTCCTCCTCCTCCCCCTCATTCCCTTCCTCCTGCTCGCCCTCCTCCTCACGCACCTCATCTCCCTTCTCTTCCTCTCCCTCCACCTCTTCCAACCTCTCAGCAATCTCTTCAACCCTCTCCCACTCCTCCTCGCCCTCCTCCTGCAGCTCCCCACACACCTCCAGCACCATCTGAGCCACCACCCCCACCATCGCCACCACGCCATTCTCCACCTCCTCTCCACTCATCCTCTTCCCCAGCTTCGCCACCACCCCTTTGCTCAACCCCAAGCTAACACCCAAACCAGAACCCATGCCAACACCAGGACCAGTCTGATTGAAACCTTTTCCTTCCTCCTCTGACCCTGCTTTTACCCCCACTTTCCCTGCACCCCCCCCTCCTCTCTCCCCTTTCTCCGCTGCTCCTGCTCCCACTCTAGCCGCACCAGAAGCACCAGCTGCGGTGCTGCCCCCACCGTTCCCGCCCTTCTCTCCATCACCATTTGTACCTCCCCCACTGTTTTCCCCACCTGCTCCCTCTGCCAGCTCAGCAACGCACGCCCTGCGGAAGTCGTCCAGCTGGCGCGTCAGGATTGGCAGGAGGAGGCCGGAGAGGAGGGGAGGGGATCGGAAGAGGAGCGGGTGGGAGGAGAGCAGGCGGAGGGGGAGAGTGAGGGCATCAAGAGGGTGTGGGGGGCGGACAGGGAGGGGCGAAGGAGGTGGGGAGGGAGAAAATACTGGAAGAGAGAAGGGAAGAGGTGAGAGGGAAGGTGGAGGTGGTGGGGAGTGTGTGGAGAGAGGGAGGGGGGGCGAGGGCGAGAGGGAGAAGGGGGATGGAGAGGAGGGAGGAGGGAAGTTCTGAGCTTGAATAGCTCCGACGACAGCTGGCATGAGAGCAAGATATCCCATGGGAGGGATTCGGCTCCACCAATGAGAGAATGCCACCTGGATAGCCCTCAGGTCCAGGATTGAGTGTGCTTGCAGCGAGTGTGACTGCAAGAGAGAAGGAAGCAGGCTGTTGATAATGACAAGCTCTGCTGCCCAGTCCCCGATGGCAAACCCTGCGTCAGTCAGGGAGGCACTGGAGGTTTTTCCCCTGTCTCTTTGCGTGCCTGTGATACCTTTAATAGCAGCTTGGGAGAAAGAGAGGGAGAGCGAGAGGGATAGGGAGAGAGGGAATTGCCAGGAATCGAGAAGAGCGCAGAGAAGAATGCAAAACATCTCATGCTCTGCCTGCTGTTGCTGCCGCTGCTGGTGGTGGGTGGTAATTTGGGAGTGTGAGGCATGGAGGCCATAGGCCAAGCTCCACTCAAGTGCTTGCAGCAGGTGATCAGGACGCTCGTGCTCAGGCCTTGAGGTGGAGGTGATAGGGGTGCTGGGAGTGTTGGGCGTGATGGAAATGCTGGGGGATAGGAGGACTTGCAGGAGAGAGTAGAGAGTGCCTAGAGTGTGCTGATGTGACGTGCTGCCTTCTGCTGCTGTTTCGTTTGCTGGAGTTGCACTCAAGCGTGCTGAGGTGGATAATGTGGGGGATGATGTGGCGTTGGAATGTGCTGACGTGGAGGGAGGGAGGAGGAGGTTGAGATAGGGGAAGGTGAGGAGGGCTTTGGGGCGGGCGAGTGTGTGGAGAGGAGGAAGGGGAGGGCGAGGGCTTGTGAGGGAAGATGAGTTGAAGGTGTCGAGGTTTGTTGGTAGGGGCAGTCGAGGTGGCTGCCCGGGAAATTCTGGCAGCAGAGAAAACGCCAGAGACTGCCACTGCAAGCACAAGACACGATTCACAGGAGAGATGGGGTTGCAGAAAAAGTTTTAGAAAAGTCAGAAGGAATTCCAGCAAATGGAGCGATACAGAGTGGGCATTAGAGAGTCAACTGGGCAGCACAGCACTCACAGTGGGCATGAGAGGGGCGAAGTCAAGGAACCTCTTTTCCATGGCAGCCAGCAGGGTGTGCCAGGGCAGGGCGCGCAGCAGCAGGTGCCACCACTGCTGCACCGGCAGGGCCTGAACCACCTCTGCACGGCACGCCTGCACCGCTCCTCTGCTCCCTGCCATTGCTGTCCTTGCATTCCCTGAACTCTCACCCCCCCTGCTGCCCTCCCCTCTCTCCATTCCTGTCTCATGAAGACTCCCACTCTTCTTTCCCTCCTCTCCCTCCTGTTCCGACTCTGCCTTCGATTCTACTTTCCCCTCTTCTCCCTCTGCTCCCGCTTCTCCCTCGTCCTCGTCCTCCCACTCCTCTCCCACTTCTGGCAACACGAATTCAGCCCCAGCAATTACTTTCTTGCCCTGCGCGCCCTGCCCCCCTCTCCTCTCCCCCGCTTCCTGCGCCCCTCTCGTTTCCCCTCTCTGCTCTCCACTCCCCTGCACCCATCGCTTCCTCTGCATCTCTTGCTCCCACAGAAGCACATACAGAGACCCCAACGCCCCCCGTGCCAACACCCTCTCCTCCTCACCCCAGCACATCTCCTCCAATCGCATAATACCACTCTTGTCTCCATCTCCACCCATCACCCCACCTCTTGTCCCTGATTCGGGTTCCAAGGATGCAAGTTGGTGTGGAAGTTGCGTGGGGAGAAGGGGGGAGAGCAGAACAGTCGGGGGGGTGCCTGAGGTTGTGCGGAGACAGGCGGGCCAAATGAGACGAAGGAGGGCGGAGCGAGACAAGGGTTGGATGGCAGGGGTGGGAGGGGTTGTGGTGGTGGAGTGAGAGAGAGTAGGTGTGGTGTTTGAAATTGTGGGGGACGAGGTGGGGTGGAGGGGGGAACGAGAGGGGTGCGATGGGGACGAGTGGGCAGAGGAGGGGTGAGACGGGGAGATGCGAGACGGGGAGGGGTGGGAGCGGGAGACGTGAGAGGGGGATGCGCGAGATGGGGAGGGGTGCGAGGAAGGGAGAGAATAATGCGGGTGTGCCGGAGGGTGGGCCGCGGGGGGATGGGAAACTGGCGTGCGGGAGGGGGTGGGTGGAGGAACGGGGAGGGATGCGGAAGCAAGGGCAGAGACGAAGGAGGAGAGGAGGGAGGGGAATACAGGGTGGATGGGGAGGGAAGCGGCGTAGAGACAGCGGAAGACAGCTGGGGTGGGGTTGATGTGGTGGAGGTCGAAGAGGCCTGCTTCTAGCAGTAGATGCACACACTCTGCTGCCCGCACTGCTGCTGCCCGCACTGCTGCTGTCTGCGCTGCTGCCGATGCTCGCACTGCTCCTGCTGGTTTGCCCCCTTCCCCTGGATCGCTGCAATCTCGGACCGTTCTTTGGGCTTGGCTCGGCAAGAGTTGCTCTTGGCACGGCAAACAAGACAGTGGGTGCAGCGATGCCACTCCTCTGAGCACCGCTGCTGCAGAGAATAACGCAGGAGCAGCGCCGGCGGTGGCAGCATTGTCACTGCCAGCAGCAGCGGCATGGTCCCGAGTGGCAGAGGCAGGAGGTGCAGCAGCAGCGGCAGCAGCAGTGCTGTTTGCATTCCCGTTGGCACTTCCTCCCCCTACTGCAGTGTCCGCGAGGTGGGTGAGAGAGGCAGTAGTCACTAACACAGGGAAGCCTAGGGTTTGCCGAATGAGCTGTGGATGGGGTAGGAACATGAAAGGGAGGAGTGGGAGAAAGGGAAGGGGAGAGTGAAGATGTGATTTCAGGGACTGGAGATGGCAAGCTGGCACATGCACGCATGTGCACATGGACACGTGCGCATGTATCGTTTAGTGGGAGTGGGCACACACAGCAAGCTCACGCTAGAAGCATTCTCATAATCAAAGAGTGTTTTTTTAACACGCACCTCTACCAGAGATTCATGTCTCTTGAGCATCAGCTGCACCAGCACCCACACCACCAGAACATCATTGCCTCCTCTTCCCCATCCGTCTGCCCCACCACTCCCATCGGCGGCTTTGTTTCGCGGTTGCTTCGAGGAGGAAGGCGCGGGATTGCGAGATGTGTTGATTGAGAGAGGGGCTGAGAAAATGGAGCGTGCTACTTGCAGGTAGAGGGGGTGGAGGAGAGGTGAGGAGGCGAGGGAGGGGGGGATGAGGGAGAGGAGGGAGAGGGCAAGGAGCATGAGCTCTTCAGAGAGGGGGGAGGGTGTTACTCCTGCAGACCCTTTCCTGCTGTGCTGCTGGTGCTGATGGTGCTGGTGGTGGTGGTGATGGTGGCGGTGGTGATGCTGGTGCTGGTGCTGATGGTGCCGCTGCTGCTGGCAATGCTGGGAAGTGTTGGTGGGGTTTCCTGCTGTGCCTTGCACGACTGCTGACAACCAAAACGACACCTGCAAGCGGCAGCAAGCGGGGTGAGGACAGCCACGCACACGGTAAGAGCCGAGTATTCTAAAAAGAAATATGCCATCTCTCAATGGTGCTCACATGCACGATATCCCTGGCCATCCCCCACTTTCCCACCCTACCAGCCCACACATGCAGCCCACACATGCACCCAACCAGCCATCAATCCACCTACCATCCCATGTAAATCGGTGGGTGGTTACTATCAGTCCACTTACCTCTCTGGCTGCCAGGCTGCCACGCGATTCAAGCTCACCCTCACATCATCGTCCACCCTTCCCCCCATCCCCCCACCCACCCACCTCTTTGGCTGCCAGGCTGTCACCCGGCGCATCTTCCAGCCTCACCACACCGCACCCGCACAACAGACAAAACACCCGCAGGTGCCGCGACAGTTCTGCCGACCATCTTCCCACCAGCCCGCCGCCCTCCTCCAGACGCTCATGTGGCTTTGCTCCTGTTCTCCCTGCCACGCCACCACCACCCTTTTCCTCCTCCTCCTTCCCTGTAACCTCACCCTCACCCTGAACCTCCCCGCCCTCCACACGCCCCCCACTGTGACTCAGCTTCACGTTCAGGCCCACTCTCCCCGCCTCTGCCTCTGCTCCTCGCAGCAAAGCCGCCCTGGCGCGCCACATGGCGCACCCTGATTGGCTCTCAGCGACATCAGCCAGCGGCATTAATTTCGCTGCTGCAGCAGCTGTTGTCTCCCTTTGCTCCTTGACCGCTCCTCCTAGGCCATGTGACACTAACGGGCCCCAGGTCTCCCTTGCAGAGAAGAACTCATGTGGATTGAATGCACTGAGGCAAGGAAAGGACTGAGCAGGGACGCTTCTTCTTGGGAAAGGAAATAACTCTTCTGCCTCTCCCTCCCTCCCCCCCGCCCTTTCCTTCTCCTTCTCCCCCACTTTCTCCCTCTCCCGCTGCTCTGCATGTCTCCTCACTGCATCCCCTTCCTCTTTACCGCCTCTCCCCTCTCTTTCACCTCTCCACCCCCCTTCCTCTTCTCCTATTTCCCCGCCTGGCATCCTGTAAGGAGCTATAAGAAACTTCCAGCAACTGTTTTTGGCCAATAGGGGATCGGAGAGAGAATTGGACGGAGGAGGCAGGGCAGAGAGGAAGAACTCCAGCTCATCGCCAATCAGATCCACCGTGATCTGCACCGCCAGCTCAGCAAGCACGCGCTGACTCAGGAACGCCGCCCGGCACGCCTTGGGAACCGCAAGCAGGTCCTCCAGCAGCACGGGACCTACGGATTTAGCCGTAGATCTGCCTGCTGACGTGGCAGCTGTAGCAGCGGACAGCTGGCAGACGCGGACCATGGCGAGGGAAGCTGCACGGAATATGCATGAGGCCCAGTTCGTGGCAGTGCGAGCAGTGGGGAGGGCAGTAGTGCCGGTCTTGCAAGAGTGAGCAGCCGAGGGAGGAGGAGGGGGCAGTGTGGATGGCGCAGGAAGGTGGTGGTGGTGGTGGTGGTGGGATGCGTGCTTGTGATGTGCATTCATGTGACTGGGACCCACGCCAGGCAGCAACCCCTCAGCCCGCCTATGCTGCAGCTCCTTCAGAGGAGGCGGCTTAGAGGAGAAGCTTCCAGGAAAGACAAATGCATGAGGCCTCTTTGGACGGGGGGTCTGCTTTGCACCAGCAGCAGCACTGAAGGCACCAGGTGCAGCACTGCCGGCAGCAGCACCTGCAGTAGCGCCGGCAGCAGTGGCAGCGGCAGCGCCAGAAGTGGCAGCAGCAGCAGCACCTTGCCTGCCTGCTGCCATGGGCGTTCTAAAATCCCCAGGCGCAGCAGCAGCAGCGCCCCACCGTGTGGGGTCAGATTGCGATTCCGGTTGAGACAACGGAGGTGATGGTTGAGAGTGGGGAATGGACGAAGGAGTGTATGGAGAGGTCTGGCCCAAAACTCGAGCGAGGAGATTGATTGCGGAGGTTCGGAACAGCGGAGAGGTTTGGAGAACCAGGCCTGCAATCAGGCTCGGACCGAGCCTTGAAGCCAGCAGTCCGAGAACAGCCAGACCTGTAGGGACAGCAGAGGGGTGAGGGACCAGCAGGGGTGAGAGAGGGTTTGAATGAATCCTTGGGGAATGCTGGAAAGGGGTTTGCGGGCAAAGAAACTTGGAACAATGAAGGGAGGGAGAGCTTCAGGAACTGTAAGATTTGCGTTGAAGAGCCGTCTGTGTGTTATGTGCGGCAACTTTGGCTGACCTGGCGGAAGGAGCGAGGGGCACTTGATTGCCAGTGCTGGCAGCAGGCAGAGGAGCTCGGGGACAAACACAGGATTGTCACATAGCCTCCTCTCCAGGTGTGTTCTGAGATGATTCAATACACACAGACACTGGTGTGGGTGACGTGTGGTGTGACTCACCTGGTGGCAGGAGCGAGGGGCACTTGATTGCCAGTGCTGGCAGCAGGCAGAGGAGCTCGGGGACAAACACAGGATTGTCACATAGCCTCCTCTCCAGGTGTGTTCTGAGATGATTCAATACACACAGACACTGGTGTGGGTGACGTGTGGTGTGACTCACCTGGTGGCAGGAGCGAGGGGCACTTGAGCGCCAGTGCTGGCAGCAGGCAGAGCAGCTCTGGGATGAACACGGAATCATCAAATAGTCTCCTCTCCTGCTCTCCTCCTCCTCTCCTCCTCCTCCTCCTCCTCCTCCTCCTCCTCCTCCTCCTCCTCCTCCTCCTCCTCCTCCTCCTCCTCCTCCTCCTCCTCCTCCTCCTCCTCCTCCTCCTCTCCCTCCACCCCTCTGCACCGCTCTCTAACCATTCGCAAGGCAGCAGCACCCATCAATTCCCCCTCAAGACCTCCCAGGCCCCACTCCCCCAATCCTCCTCTCCCCCACACATCCCTCTCAGCCTTCGGCCTCCTCACTCCTCTCTTTCTCTTCCCTTCCCTGCTACGCCTCTTCAACCTCAGCTTCTCCCACTCCTCTTCCTCCTCCCCCTCCGCTCCTCCTGCCCCTCGTGCCACCGCCCGGCTTTCACGCATGTGGACAAAAAATCTCACAGTGCACCGGCGCAGGAAGAAGACAGCCAACGCTGCCCGTTGCACCTGGAAAATGCGAGAAACGTATTGAGGAAAGTCGGCAATATTGTACACACAGTGACACACGAAGTGGCATGGCAATGTACTGTCTCACTACTGGACGGACACACGCATGCCGCATGTTGCGCTACTGCACGCAAGTGGTTAATCACGGCAAAATCTTCATAAGAGCAATACACCAATCAGCCACCTTCTCAGGAATTGTTTGAAATAGTTTCACCCCCGAAGTCACCAAGCATGGAGGCTGCAATAAAGTACCCTCGGTCATTGAGGAAGTGGAAAAACCAGCAACCAGCCATCCCCAAAGGCACCACCACGGCTCACCTCGTTGCCCATTTCAAAAATCTCCGCAGCATCCATCCGCGCTGCCCTTCCCCTTCCCCTTCGCGCCCCGCTTCCCCTGTACCTCTCCCCAGTATTCTCATTACCCCCTCCGCCTTCACCTTTCCGTCTCTTGGCCTCTGCCGACTCACTTTCCTTCTCTCCCCCTCCTCCCCTTCTGCCTCTCCCTCCTCTCCCTCCTCTGCCTTAACCACCCCCTTCCCCCTCATTCCCCCTTCATCCTCCGCTCCGCTCTGCTTCCGCCGCTTCCGCGCCCGTTCCCCGCCATCCTGCCGTCCTCGCCAGGCTGAGCGCAGCTTCCGCCACCCGCGCTGCATTTTCGCAAGCCTCTTAATCTCCGCGTCCACCGCGGCGGGCTCGAGCAGTGACAGGTACTCCGTCAGTCGCGGCGCGAGCTGCGGGTTGAGCACCGTCCGCGACGCGGGGATATGATTGAAAGCCATGCTGATTGCGTTATAGCAGACTGACGTTAGGGTTGCTGGATGAACGATGCGGTCAGATTTTAGGTTCAAGTGACCAGTATGAAAAAATGAGTGAAAGGAGAACAGCGGCTGATCAAGGTCCTGATACGCTACGCGTCGCGCATTGCAAAATGGGGTCAGTAGTAACCGTCTAGGGGTTCTTTAAACTCTCACTTTAGAAGCAGAAACTGTTACAATCGTTTATGATCAGTGTCGAGTCGACGATTAGCGACCATGGAATGCGGGACATGGCGGAGGATAAAGCAGACGCAGATGTTGCTGGGGTGGTGCTGCTTCTGGTCTTGGAGCAAATACTCGTTACAGAATGATTTGGAGGTTCAACGTGATAATATTTCAAACAAATTATTGCGCAGTCCGCAAATTCATTCTTCGCAGTCTGTTCCCGCATTGCACTACACAGTTCGCCCGTTTCGCAAAGCGAACTGGCTGCTGTTTGTCTGACAGCGCAGGCCATTCTGCGACGACATTCCACGCTCACGGTCTCACCATCTTCATCTCCATCCTCCTCACACACTGAAATTATCAGTCGCTCGCACATTACTCGCGTTCTGAGACCTGACAGCCAAGACCACGCCCCAGCGGTCAGTTCTGCTTGCTCCGGATATTTAAACGCTCAAACGTTACGGTGTCCGTGTTCACCTGCCAAACCATCGAACCGTACTATCGCCATCAGCAATCCTCGAAAAATATGTCTCACCATTCACGACCCACTCATCGTGCTGAGTTCGACACACCTTCGGTCTCTCCACGCCCCCCTCGGGTGCTTCTCGTCGGGAATCTTTGTCATGACGTCATCACGCTGAAATCCGGGAAAACGGTCGAGGCGTTAGGCGGCTCGGTCGCGTACATCTCGCGCGTGCTCGACGCAGTCGGCGTGTCGTCGCGATCCGTCGCGAAAGTCGGCTCGGATTTTAAGTACTGGGACGCGCTGGGCCCGAGTTGCCGGCCGGTAGTGGTGGGTGGGGCCGAGTCGGAGAGAAGGTGTTTAAACGGTTCTGCAGTGTCAGCAGCAGCAAAGACGACCGAATTCTTCGCGGATTTCGCAGGTGATAGGTCGCAGTGGCTTATTCCCCATCCTAATATGCCGTTCTGATCTCCCACATGCTGCGTCAATTTCTTACGACGTACCTGGTCCCCATTCCATTTCCGTCCGTAACCCCTTATTTTTCCCTTCACCGCCTGTCCTGATTCCTCCCTAACAACCCCTAACTGAACATTCAGGCTCTGACCGCGTGCTTACAGCCGGTCACGTGTGCGAAGCCATAGAACCAGCAGACCTCCCCAGCCTCTCATGCCCATGTCCTTGCCTGTGCGGATGCCAAGATGCGAATCCATTGGCGAATTCCCATCCTGATCATTCCACTCCACCTGATGCTGCTCTCACTTTCGCTGGGGAGGACTGTGGCTATAAGAGATGTGACTCAAGACGACCAGTTGGTAATCAGAGTTCAGAGAGCTGCTCTCATGTGCCGATGTTTGATGTGGGAGTGGCTGCTGGTGTGGCTGGGGAGGTTCCGCCATCAACAGTGCGACACATTGCAGAAATCTCACGCCACACAGTGGCGGATCTACAGGTGCTATATCATGATAACCGATTGTGGGACATAAAAAAATCCTGACATGTTACTGTGTCTTCACCATTTTGATCCCATGGATTGCACTTCACATGTTCACTCATCTATTTCTCGCCCTTCACCCCTGCCCATGCAGTCAATGGTGCGTGACATTGACCCTGTGACAGGGACTGTTGAATTGCTGCATCTTGAGAAAACCTCTTTTATGGCTTTCCTTCCACGGATATCATATCTTAAGGTGCTTCTCTGTTCTGTGCCCATACCCCTTTTTCGCTCCATCTACATTAGTGCAAGCTAAATCAGTGTTTTCTGCATATCCTTCTGATTCTACCACCCATGCGTAGATTCTTTTTCTGTTTCCCACGCCCTGCATGTCTTCAGGTTGCCAGTCATGAAGCTGATTTTCTGGATATTAAGAAGTGTGCTCGGCTGCTTGGCACAGCCCAGGCTAGGAATGCGGTGGAGCGATGCAATGGCAGTGGAGATGATATGATTGGAGGAGCTGTGCTGCTGACTCAGGCTGAAAAGGGGTGTACTGTCATCACAAGGTAGGAACATACCTTCGATGCCACGTTACACAATGGCAGCAACGTGCCATTTCAATGTCTGTCTCTGGTTCTGTTTACCCAGACCATTGTTGTGTGACCGATTCCGTTTCTCCTTCGTATTGCAGAGATAGAGAGTTCGTGGTCCCCTCATTTCCTGCAGTGGAAGTGGATTCCACAGGTGCAGGTGATTCGTTTATGGCAGGCTTCATTACAGGCCTGTGCTTAAATCGAACATTAGAGGAGGCAGTGCAGATGGGCTCGTTCTTCGGGAGCATAGCTGTGGAGCAGGTTGGTGTGCCAATAATAACACCACCAATTGTTGCTAGATGGCAAGCAGCATTCAATGTAGACACTTGTTGTCACTAGTTTGATTTACATCTTCATGTGCTATGCGAAACACCAATTGAGTGTACATTGTATGTTTCCTACCCCCTAGTAATTTCCCGCGTTTCCTAGACCCAGAATCTCCCACAATTCTAGATATCCCCGCGCTTATGTGGAAGCCTCTCGCTATTTTGACATTTGAATCGGACGGTGGAAAGCCCATGAAGCCTCTCGTAGCCTCTAGTGTGAACTTTCGACGGCCAGCTGCTGCTTGCGGCGCCAGAATCTGCTGGAAGCATCTAGAAAGTTTCGTGATGGACAGATGGGGGAGACTTTCCCCAGGCTCCTCACCCCTTCACACCAGCAGACATCTCAAATCTACAAATCGCTAAGCTTGCGACTGCGTTTTCAGATCTCAGTTCTAGCTGAGAAATTTGCCTATTCCCCAGCTTCCTTTTCAAAGCTCTCTTTCAGCGCACTTAGAAACTCCTGCTTACGATTTAGACACAATGGCCGCCAAGGGAGAAGGTCCCGCAATCGGTATCGATCTCGGTACCACCTACAGCTGCGTCGGTGTGTGGCAGCACGATCGCGTGGAGATTATCGCCAACGACCAGGGTAACCGCACCACCCCCTCCTATGTCGCCTTCACCGACACGGAGCGTCTCATTGGCGATGCTGCGAAGAATCAAGTCGCCATGAACCCCATCAACACCGTCTTTGGTGAGTTTGTCCTTTATTTATAAAAATTCTTGTATCTGCATACATGAGCTTACGCCAATTTGATGATGTTAGCAAACGAGCATTCAGCTAACCATTGATACAATTTTTTAATTGCGCAGATGCCAAGCGTCTGATCGGCCGTCGCTTCTCCGATGCTCCCGTCCAGAGCGACATCAAGCTGTGGCCGTTCAAGGTCACCGCAGGCCCCGGCGAGAAGCCCATGATCGAGGTCCAGTACAAGGGCGAGACCAAGTCCTTCGCTGCTGAGGAGATTTCCTCCATGGTGCTCACCAAGATGAAGGAAATCGCCGAGGCGTACCTTGGAACCACCATCAAGAACGCTGTGGTCACCGTCCCTGCTTACTTCAACGACTCTCAACGACAAGCCACGAAGGATGCTGGCGTTATCGCCGGCCTGAACGTGCTCCGTATCATCAACGAGCCCACCGCCGCTGCTATCGCGTACGGTCTCGACAAGAAGGCCTCCAGCTCCGGCGAGAAGAACGTTCTCATCTTCGATCTCGGCGGAGGTACCTTCGATGTGTCCCTGCTGACGATCGAGGAGGGTATTTTCGAGGTCAAGTCGACTGCTGGTGACACTCACTTGGGCGGTGAGGACTTCGACAACCGTCTGGTGAACCACTTCGTCCAGGAGTTCAAGAGGAAGTACAAGAAGGACATCACCAACAACCCCAGGGCTCTCCGCCGTCTCCGTACCGCCTGCGAGCGTGCCAAGAGAACTCTCTCGTCCACGGCGCAGACGACCATTGAGATCGACTCTCTGTATGAGGGTATTGACTTCTACTCCACCATCACCCGTGCCAGATTTGAGGAGCTCAACATGGACATGTTCCGCAAGGTTAGTTGCTCCTCCTTCCCTTTCGTCAGTCCTTTTCCTTTTGTTGCTTACATTTTGATGTCCAAATCTAAGGTCGGTTGCTTCTACTGGTTTTATTTGATCTCCCACTTGTTTTCCTAAGGTTTTTTGCTTCTACTTTTTTTTTATCATTTCTAATTCTCTTTGATTTTGCCCTTTTTTTGGTTTCAGTGCATGGAGCCAGTCGAGAAGTGCCTCAAGGACGCCAAGATGGACAAGGGTGCCATCCACGACGTGGTGCTCGTCGGCGGGTCCACACGTATCCCCAAGGTGCAGCAGCTCCTGCAGGACTTCTTCAACGGCAAGGAGCTCTGCAAGAGCATCAACCCCGACGAGGCCGTCGCGTACGGCGCGGCCGTGCAGGCCGCTATCCTCAGCGGCGAGGGCAACGAGAAGGTGCAGGACCTGCTGCTGCTCGATGTTACGCCCCTGTCTCTGGGTCTGGAGACCGCTGGCGGTGTTATGACCGTTATCATTCCTAGGAACACCACGATTCCCACGAAGAAGGAGCAGGTGTTCTCCACCTTCTCCGACAACCAGCCTGGTGTGCTGATCCAGGTGTTCGAGGGTGAGCGCGCCAAGACCCGGGACAACCATCTGCTCGGCAAGTTCGAGCTGTCCGGCATCCCCCCTGCTCCTCGCGGTGTCCCCCAGATTACCGTCTGCTTCGACATTGACGCTAACGGTATCCTGAACGTCAGCGCTGAGGACAAGACCACCGGTCAGAAGAACAAGATCACGATCACCAACGATAAGGGCCGTCTCAGCAAGGACGAGATTGAGAAGATGGTTCAGGACGCGGAGAGGTACAAGGAGGACGACGAGCAGCACAAGAAGAAGGTTGAGGCGAAGAACTCCCTTGAGAACTACGCCTACAACATGCGCAACACCATCAAGGACGACAAGATCGCCAGCAAGCTTGACGCTGGCGACAGGAAGAAGATTGAGGATGCCGTGCAGTCAACCATTGACTGGCTCGACCAGAACCAGCTGGCTGAGGTTGATGAGTTCGAAGACAAGATGAAGGAGCTGGAGGGCATCTGCAACCCCATCATCGCCAGGATGTACCAGGGCGCGGGTGGTGCTCCTCCTGAGGCTGACATGGATGGTGGTGCCGGATTTGGCGGTGGTGCTTCTGGCGGTGGTGGCTCTGCTGGGCCCAAGATTGAGGAGGTCGACTAATTTGAGAAACTTAGTTGATAGTTTTGATAAACCTTGTATTGCATTCAAAATTTTGAAGTTTTGAGTCACTCTTACATTTTTGCTTGCACCTACAAGTCTCAGTAGCGCTAACATCCTTTGTGAAAGGAGGACTCTCCCCCACCCCTTTCATGTCAAATGTGATGCAAAGATGTGTATTTCACCAAATTTGAGTGAAGGAAAGAGTTGTCCCGTCTTAAATAGGTAGCACTTTTGTGTGTGAAGTGTACTGTGCTAGCTTGTAATGCGGATAGGTGTAACGTTGAATCAGCAGACAGGTCTTGATTCATGTCCTCATCAGTCAGGCCAGTGGGAACACTTCTTCACTGGTTGGGCCAACCTTGCTCCGATCCCATAGTCCCGAGCCGACTACGTCTTGCCGGAATTTCCGTCGCTATCTAGCCTCAGTCCGCACTCTAGTATACAGCCTACCTGTAACGGAAACTGCGCGGCCTACCTATGGATGCTTACCACAGTCGTCCCCCCATAAATCCTCCCCTCCTCCTCCCGTTCCACTCCCTTCGCCGAAGATTACGCGTCCTTCAAAGTCAAGTTTCGATGGCCAGCCGCGGCGCCGCGATCTGTTTGAAGAATCCAGTCGTGATCGACGGGCAGGAGAGGCCTTCACAGGACTGACAAAGTGGCAAAGGACCGTTGACGGACTAAATTCGCTTCCTGGCTCGCACCAGCAGACATCTCCAGCTTATAATGATATAAACTTCCAGCTGTTTCTACAGATGTTTACTCCCCTGCTTACTCCCCAGCTCTTTCATACCTACACTAGTCGTAGACGCATCCGGACCTCCTCACACCTGCTTATACTTCCAGCAGAATGGCTGCTATTGGTATCGATCTCGGTACTTCCTACAGCCGTGCCGCTGTGTGGCAGCACGATCGCGTGGAGATTATTGCCAACGACCAGGGTAACCGCACCACCCCTTCCTATGTCGCCTTCACCGACACGGAGCGTCTCATTGGCGATGCTGCGAAGAATCAAGTTGAAATCAACCCAACTAACACCGTCTTCAGTGAGTAGTAGACGCAATTTGATGATCTTGGCATTATGTGTTTCTTACTTGAAGTGGTGATGTTCACAGGGAGCGAACATTGAACTAATGCGCCGTGCTCCTTTCCACAATGCAGATGTCAAGCGCTTGATTGGCCGTCGCTTTTCCGATGCGTCCGTCCAAAGCGACAAGAAGCTGTGGCCATTCCAGGTCACCAAAGGCCCAGGCGAGAAGCCCATGATCAAGGTCGAATTCAAGGAAGAGACCAAGATTTTCGCTGCCGAGGAAATCTCCTCCATGGTGCTCACCAAGATGAAGGAGATCGCCGAGGCGCACCTCGGAAGCACCGTTAAGAATGCGGTCATCACCGTTCCTGCCAACTTCAGCGACTCGCAACGACAAGCCACTAAGGACGCTGGCGCAATCGCGGGCCTGAAGGTCCTCCGTATCATCAACGAGCCTACTGCTGCTGCTATCGCGTACGGTCTCGACAAGAAGGCGACCGATTCCGACGAGAAGAATGTTCTCATCTTCGATCTGGGCGGAGGTACCTTGGATGTGTCGGTTCTGACGATCAAGGAGGGGACTTCTGAGGTTAAGGCGACTGCTGGTGACACTCACTTGGGCGGTGAGGACTTCGACACCCGTCTGGTGAATTTCTGCGTTGAGGAGTTCAAGAAAAAGCACAGGAAGGACATGAGCAGTAACCAGAAGGCGCTTCGCCGTCTCCGCACTGCCTGCGAGCGTGCCAAGAGAACCCTCTCGGACTCAACGCAGACGAGGATTCAGCTTGACTCTCTGCACGATGGTGTGGACTTCGACAGCATCATCTCACGGCTGAGATTCGAGGAGCTCAACATGGACAATTTCCACAAGGTTGGTTCCAAGTCGCTTTACTTCTCCCTTCCACTTTAGAAATATTAACTGCATCCTTTCGGGAAGCTAAGTCTCAAAATCTCCCCTGGTCTGAATCTGTGGTTCTGACTTTTTGCGAAAGAGAAGCTAATGTCTCTTTTTTTTTTAACTTTTGTTTCTACAGTGCATGGAGCTGGTGGAGAAGTGCATCAGGGACTCGGGGTTGAGCAAGCATCAGATCCACGACGTGGTGCTCGTCGGCGGATCCACGCGTATCCCCAAGGTGCAGCAGCTCCTGCAGGACTTCTTCAACGGCAAGGAGCTCTGCAAGAGCATCAACCCCGACGAGGCCGTCGTGTACGGCGCGGCCGTGCAAGCGGCCATTCTCAGCGGCGAGAAGGTGCAGGATGTGCTGCTGCGTGATGTCACGCCTCTGTCCCTGGGTCTCGAGTCTGCCGACGATCTCATGACCGTTGTCGTTCCCAGGAACACCGCGATTCCCACGACCAAGGAGCAGGTGTTTACCGTCAGCCAGCCTGGTGCGTTTATCCAGCTGTTCGAGGGTGAATACCCGGAGACCCTTGATAACCGCCTGCTCGGAAAATTCGGGCTGTCCGACGTCCCCCCTGCTCCTCAGATCACCGTCTCGTTCGACATTGACGCCGACGGTATCTTGAATGTTAGTGTCGAGGACAAGACTACTGGGCAGAAAAATAAGATTGTGATTGACAAGGGCCGGCTTAGCCAGGCTGAGATTGAGAAGATGGCTCAGGACGCGGAGAGGTACAGGGAGGAGGACGTACGCGATAAGAGGAAGGTGAAGGCGAAGGACTCGCTTATGACATACACCTACGAGATTCGCAACAGGATGATGAGGGACGACACGATCACGTGCGATCTCGATGCGGGAGACAGGTATAAGATCGAGGATGCTGTGCAGATGACGATCGAGTGGCTCGACCGGACATCGGTGGCTGAGGCGTATGAGTTTGAGGACAGGAAGAAATGGCTGGAGGGAATTTGCAGCGCTTTCATTGCCGTGGTGTGACGCACTTTCATCCGTGGTGTGATGCACTTTTGATTGGTTGGTTGTTTGTCAACACCTTTGTTGCAATCCATGTTTTGATGTTTTCTCTGATGTTTACCAAACTCTTGAGGCCGTGACGGTCACTTCCCAAGCATGGAGCATGATGTTCAACTCTGGTCCTTGGTATAGAGCTCAGACTGGCCAATGAGTTTGCAATTATCAGCAGGATAAAGCAAGACAGTGTGCATTGTACTTACGGTACTGTATGTACACAACACGCTGCCTCTCACTGTTTGGACACCGTCTGCCTAAGCCTACGATTGTCAGTTTCCAAGAATGCAACTTGATCTTTGAGAGCAGATACTTGAGCCTCCAATGAAGTGATCCTCTGGTCTTTAGCCTGCAGCTCTGACTGACAATTCATTCTGCAATTTTGTGGGGCAAGGCAAGACAAGCGAGCGCAGAACAGATTGACTGAATGCACACCGAGCAGTAACAAGCACACATGACGGGAAATCTATGCACCAAGAAAAGCAAGAGGGAAACGGTAAGAGGGAACATGAGGGAACAAGAGGCAACACCGTACAGCAGGGTCATGGCTCGCTCGAACCGCAGCTGAAGCCGCAGCAGCGCTCGCAGCTCATGAGATGACGATTGCCCTCTTGAAGCTGAACCACTCGCACCCCAACCCCACCGGAAACCACTCCATATGTCCTCCTGTGCCCCCGACCTCTGCCCCCTCGTTCCATTTCTCCCACCATCACCCCTTGCGCTCGACTCTTGCATTGTTGATTCCCCTCTGAAACTCCCATTCTTGCTGTTCAGTCTCTCTGCGTCCCATCCTGTTCCCGCCACTTGCTGCCTCCATGCCTCCCCAAATCTGTGCCCATCCATCCCTAACCTGTCAACAACTGCGTTCTCACCTTCACGTCTGCACCTCCTCTCAAGCTCCTGCTCAAATTGGCATCTCCCACTTCCGTCCTCCCCCCCTTCTCCTCCTCTTCCCCCTCTCCTCCTCTCTGCATCTCCTTCAATCGTTCTACCCTCCACAGATCGCTCACCAGATCGCTCACCAGATCGCTCACCAGATCGCTCAGCAGGCAACCCCAAGCCTCTGGAAGGCGCAGCAAGAGATTCTCTCCCTGACATGCCTGGGGATGGAGAGAGCTCGCTCCATGTGAGCATGGGGGGTGTGACTGTATGGGGAGGAGAGGATGGAAGGGATGAACATCTGACAGGATGCTTTACTGTGGGAGACACAGCAGCTGCTGCAGATAGGCACGCAGTCGCCAAGCCTGATCTTGCTGCCGCTGGTTCAGTTGCAGCATCTCCTACCAGCAGATTTTCAGCTGCTGCTGGAGCAGACACTCTTGATAATGCATCCGGAAGCAATCTGCCCTGCGAAGAACCACTGCCCTGTTCCTGCTGGTGCATGGCGGATGGCAGCTTGCCTCTACACCCATCGTCCCCTGAACCTGCACCCCCTGCTGCCTTAGCATCTACCTCAGCAGAGGAGGATCCAATCCTTCTCTCTCCCTCTCTCCCCACTGCCTCTCTCTCCACATCTCTGTCACCCTCCCGTTGCCCACTCCTTCCAGAATCATCTAAAACAGCATCCTCCCTAACTTCATAACCCCTTCCTCCCATCCTCCCGTCCTCCTCCTCTTCCTCCTCGTCAAATCCCCCGTCTTCAAAGAATCCCACCACGTTAGCGAACGCAGAGGCATGCCCCAAGCCTCGTGACTCTGCAAGCACTGCCAGCAACGACGGCTCAAAGTCAGAAGCATCTGAGGAGAACAGTTCAGCTCCTTCTGTACACTGCTCCGTGCCAACGCTTCTTTGTACGGCATTGTCTTGTGTGCACATTCGGCCTTCCAAGCAACGAGCTGGGCCTGTAGTGCTATTCAGGCCAACTCCCGCAGCTGCTGTTGCTGGTGATGGTGGTGATGGTGCTGCTGTTGCTGCTTCTGCTGCTACTGCTGATCGTCCTCCTGTTGAGGATGATGCCTGCATGCTTGATCCAATTTCTAGGGGGTGGTGCTCACATGCTGTAACACACACTGCGCCTTCAGGTGCCACTTCAGGTGATTGTTCAGGTGGTTCACATGCAGCCTCTCCATGCCACACCACACCATTCCTCCCAGCCACTTCGCTTCTGCTGCTACCACAGCTGTTGCTCATGACACCGCTGCTGCTGCTACAGGTAGCAGGCCCTCCTGTATCCCCTGAGCCACCACCTGCTGCTGCCATGTGCCTGCCATCTGTACCAACAGCAGTAGCTGCTGTAACCACAGCTACCATAACCACGGGTGATCCCTCTGCAACCGTGCTTACATCAGCAGCAGCACCTGGCATCTCATCAGCATGTGAGGAAGAAGACAGCCTGGCTAGTCGAGCGGCAATGGAAGCAACAGAGGGGGGTCTGCCTCTATACGTGGGGGTAGAGCCCGCTATAACGGGAGTGGTGCCTGCTGAGAACAAAGGGGTGGATGCCGCTAGCATGGGCGTGGCGAACGCAGAACCCGGCGTGCCCCAGTCGTTGTCCGAGCAGAGGGATAGGAACGAGTCAGATCGCGGCGAGTCAAACGCAGCGTCGTCGTCGGACAGCGAATCACAGCGCGCCAGCTCAGCTGTCCCTCTGAGACTGAGAGCACGGGCAGAGCCAGCAGCAGCGATTGCTGCACTGCTAGGTGCACCAACAGCGGAACTAGCAGGTGAGGTATCAGGTGCCATTGCAATGGAAGCACTATCAGGTGAGGTATCAGGTGAGGTATCAGGTGGTATCACAGAAGAGGGAGTAGCAGCAGCAGCAGCAGCTCCACCTGCTAGCTGTGCGCCCTCCATGACCCATTGCTCCACACGGGGAGACTGTGACTTCTGTAACTGCTGCCGCCACGCCTGCTGCTGTTTCTGCCCCTGCCCCTGCTGCCCCTGCTGCCCCTGCTGCTGCTGCCGCTGCCGATCCTGCGAGTGGTGCTGGACTGATCCGGATTCAGCCACGCTTTCAAATGAAGCAGGGGAGCTGACAGCAGGGATGGTGGCGTTGGTGGTGGCGTTGGTGGTGGCGGTGAGGGGATGATGTGCAGGGCGGACAGGGGGAGACGAAACTGGGTGCTGATGGTGCGAAGTCGAGGGGGTAGAGTGTATCCCGTTTGACGATAGATGGGATGGTAGATGGGATGGTGGGTGTGATGGTGGGAGGGAAGGAGGATCGGATTCGATGTGGGATGGTGGGAAGCGTGGAGGATACGTTGACGCGGCATGGCCTTGTTGAATCATGCGTGACTGTTGGAGAGAAGCGGAGGTGGAAGAGGAGGCAAGGGAGGAGGAGAGCCGCACGTTAGCATCGGAACATGCAGGCTGCACCGAGCCAGCGCGCACGCACAGGCATTCCACCTGGCACGGCGGGAAAGGGGACAGGGATAGTGCTCGCAGTCAGGTGTGGTTCTTCGGACTCAGAGGTGCTGTTAGAGTGGCACCTGACAGGTGTGGTGCTACTCTGACAAGCCAGCACGCACACAGAAGCACTCTACTCGGTGAGGCAGGGCAGGGAGCAGAGGGGAGAGTCGGCTTTTAAAAAAACAGCTTGGCAGCACCTGAGGCAGCTAGGGCCCTCCACCCGCCCTGCCCCCGCCCTCCACCACACTCCCTTTCCCTCCTTGCCTGCAGGGATGCGGCAGCAGCAGTGACAGACAGCAGCTCTATCCAGCTTTGAAACGTTTCAAAGGAAAATGCACAAAACCTCCAAGTCAAGTCAAACCCTGTCTGTATCAACTCAAAAGAACCTGCACACTCCCTCGACTCCTTACTTGCAGGGATGCGGCTGCGGCAGTCACACACAGCAGCTCCATCCAGCTTTAATACGCCTCACACTCCTCAAAGTCAAATCAACCCCAGTTTCTTACCTGCAGGGATGCAGCAGCAGCAGTCACGGACAGCAGCTCCATCCACCTTTCAGCTGCTTGCTTGCTCTCCGCCGCCAGATGGTGCGATCCCATTGGCCCGCGGATGTCTGGGGGGGGACAGAGGAAGACGGATTCGGTTGAAAAAAGGGGAAATCTTAAGAGACGGGGATGGGATGGAGGGCAAGCGAATGGAAGAGAGACGGCTACTGAGTCAGTCAGAGTCAAAGAGAAAAGGGAAGGAAGTTTCGCACGAGGAGGAGGGAAATCAAGACTGAAAGGGAGGAAAGACAGGCTGGGAAGGTGACTCACAGAAGCAGGACCATGTGGGGTGGTTGGCTGGCGAGCTGCATGTTCATGACAGGGGAGAAGGAAAGAGATAGTGGGAGAAGGACGAGGGAGGGAGGGCGGAGAATGACGGGGAAGTCGGAAAGAGGAACTGCTTTTCAAGCAATTAAATTCCAAAAAGAAGGTAAAAATAAAACTAGGTGATTATCGGATCAACCTGAGAGCTACAGGGGAGGCGAAGCGACAACACAGAAGCGGTTAGGAAAATGCCGAATCTCGCACCTCAGCACGCCCACACTCGCGTCCACCAACGGGATCGTGCCACGTAGTCGCGAATCTCCTTCCTTGATCTTATACAGCAGCCGTGGCGCGCCTCGATGGAGAATGAACCACCGGCGCCGCCATTGCCGCAGCTGATCGCTTAGCTTCCACAGCTCCCCCTCCAGTGTCTGGCCTTCTAGAAGATGCGATTCCGCTAGTCCGCGCGACTTGCGGAGGGACCAAGCGGCCATTGGAGATACTGTACGAAAGTGATTCTAGGAAACCCGAGGTTATGGGCATCCGTAGTATGCGCACCTGACACTATGAGCATTCGAGGGCCTCAGCATCCGTTGGATTGAGGGTATACCTACAGCGCCTCGAGTTCTGCGAGCTGAGATTCCGCTACGAAACGTGGCTTGCGGAGGGAGAAAGCTGCCATTGGGACTATTCCAACTCTTGTCCTGAACGTTCGCGAAGTGCGGCTATACGCAACAGAGCCGGTTTGTTACAACGACTACACGGATTTTCGCGAGGCGGTCTCGATGCTGGGCTCGAATGTCCGCAGTTGCTATATTCTGGGATTTATTTGAGTTACCCCTTCAAACAGATGTAACAAAGTAGATGTACAGATGGTCAGGGACCGATGCGACGACACATGTACGGAAAATGCGTCGGCAGGGGACGGATCGTCGTGGAATTCACGATTCCGTCGTAGGCTGCTGACTGATGGTTCTGTCAAGGTCGATAACTTCATGGCACTTTGCCAGAATACTATTTCTGACTGCTATGGGGGTCAGTGCTTGCTGTTATATTTAGGTTGTGCAAATCTTGTTCACGAAATGTTCTGAGAGGTTGAACACGTTTATGCGCGGTGCAGCGAGAAAAATTACGATGCAGTGCGCTAAAGGTCAAACGTAACGATAATAACCGTTCATTCTGTTTCACGACGTTCGCAACATTTTTAGCGAACTGTTGTTGGTGTGGCTGGTAGTCTGTTCTTCGCGAACCCTTTCCGCCAACCATTCCCAACAATATACGTTCATTGCTGTTAGCTAGACGGAAGAAAGGGGAGAGCAAGCAGCGGCGATTCAACAAATTGCCTGCTTGCCTTCCCTTGCTACCGAAAGCTTAGCTTGCGTGATTCTATTCCGAAAGGTTTCGCAACGTGGCTGCCGGTAGCGCTTCCCAAGTCTACGCGTCTACGCGTACAACACGTCTTAAGCGTTTATTCGGGAGTCTTTGCTTCTTGTGTGAATTCGGCCCCCACCACGAGCGTCGCCAGCTTTCAGGCATCGGCGGTAACGGTCACCATGCTCGGACCAGACGATGGCGGCTTCTCCTTCTTTGTAAGGCCACGTGGACTGTCCTCCGAGGTCCTAGTGTGACTTATCTTAATCAACACGTATCGGCCTTTCGATTCTAAGATATTCTAAGAGTAGAAGGGACTTTGGAGCGTTACGTTTTCTTATAATTCACCGGTCTGACGAGTTTTTGTCGTTCTGCCGCTTGATGCCCTTTCAGGGAGGAGCCAGCAGCACCGCCACCGCAACCAGCACCAGGGTTACTGAACCTACTGCCGCCTCACTCCACCCATTCGCCGCCTTCTCCACCCCCAAACAACCTCCCGCCACGAAACTCAATGGCACCGCATCCAACACCTCTCCACCGACCACAACTTCGCACCCTTTTCGACCGCCTGGGAAGAGCCAACCAAACACCTCCACGTCACCTCTTCCCTCCCCTCCCATGGTAGCTGTTGCGTCCGTGCCTTTGGAAAGAAGCAGAGAGACAGACGCAGGTGTCGCAAGCACTGGGGGAGCAGCAGGTGCTGCTGTCAACAGCGCTACAGCAGCAACGGCAACATCAGCAGCGGCGGCAGCTGCTGGTGCAAAGAGGCAGCCGCGGAAGAAGTTTATTCCGGAGCAGGGCATGAGTCAGATGAGCTGGCGCAAGGCCAGTGCTGCTGCTGCCAACGATATAGCTCGTACGTGTGTGATGGTGGGGTGCAAGTGGGTGGGGGTCGGTGCAAGTGGGTGAGGGTGGGTGCAATTGGGTGATGGTGGGTGCAAGTGGGTAAGGATGGGTGCAAAAACAGCCGCGGAAGAAGTTTATTCCAGAGCAGGGCATGAGTCAGATGAGCTGGCGCAAGGCCACCGCTGTCGCTGCCAATGATATAGCTCGTACGTGCGAGGGTGGGTTTGAGTGGGTGAGGGTGGGTGCGAGTGTGTAATGGTGGTTCGAGTGGGTGAGGGGGCGAGTGGGTGAGGGTTGGTGCAAGTGTGTGACGGTGGGTACTAGAGGTGAGGGTGGGTGCGTGTGGGTGAGGGTGGGTGCGAGGGTGTGAGGGTGAGGCTCTCTCTTACCACGTGTCTGCAGCTTAGCACCGATCGCGTTTCCTCCCATTCTCCCTTCAATCACTCCCTCCCATTCGCCTTCTTGCTCTCTCCCGTCTCCCAGGGTACCGCATGCAGAACCAAGGGGCTATACGCATGTCAGAGGCGAGGGTGCAGAGGAGGGAGGAAGACGCCTGGATGGACCCTGGTGCGAGGCCGAGTGCGCTCTGATACCACGTGTGTTTAGCTCAGCAGCACTGCTCTCTTTCTCTCCCGTCTCCCAGGCTACCGCATGCAGCACCAGGGGGCTATACGCATGGCAGAGGTGAGGCTGCACAAGAGGGAGGACGACGTGTGTAGCTCAACAATGTGTTCGCTTTTTTCTCTCTTCTACTTTCCCCCCCAGGCTACCGCATGCAGCACCAAGGGGCTATAAGGATGGCAGAGGTGAGGCGGCACAAGAGGGAGGACGATGCCTGGACCGTGGTGCGAGGCAGGGTCTACAACATCACGCCCTACCTCGACTTCCACCCGGGAGGTGAGTCACTGCTGGTTGTGTTAAGTTTCGCATTTCTTTCCGCAGCTGTCTCGCTGCTGTGGTGCGAGGCAGAGTCTACATCATCACGCCCTACTCCGACTTTCACACCGGAGGTGAGTCGATGCTGCCATCTCTCTGTCCCCCCTTGTTTGTTCTTATACCTTGATTGACTATTCCACCACCTCTATCTTCATGTGTGAATTTCCCTCCCCTCTCCCCCTTTTCCATCCTCTCCCCTCGCCCCCTTCTTCTCGTGGTGTGACTGCAGGGAAGGAGATGCTAATGAAGGGCGCAGGCAAGGACTGCACAGCGCTCTTCAGTACGCTCACTTTACCACCACCCACCCACTCGTCCTCTTCAGCTCCTGGCATTCAGTAACTCTTTGCCTCTCTTCCCAACTCTTACAAAGAAATTATTGCCTCTGTGCTCGTAGCCTCATCTTTCCTCGCTTTCTGCCTATCTTGTCAGAGTCTCTCAGTATAATCACTCTCAGGGGCTGTTGTTGGCTCTTCTAGCCCAATAACAAAGGTCGAAACATCACTACACACGGTAGGTGCCTCTCCACACTACCCCCTCCTCCTTTCCCCCCCACCCCCCCAAGCAGACAAGTACCATGCGTGGGTGAACGCGGAGTTCCTATTAGACCAACGCCCCCGCCAAGCGCCACCCACTTCCTTCCAACCAACCTCACTCTCTCCTGTCCCCTCATCCCTCATCCCTCATCCCTCATCCCTCATCCCTCATCCCTCATCCCTCATCCCTCATCCCTCATCCCTCATCCCTCATCCCTCATCCCTCATCCCTCATCCCTCATCCCTCATCCCTCATCCCTCATCCCTCATCCCTCATCCCTCATCCCTCATCCCTCATCCCTCATCCCTCATCCCTCATCCCTCATCCCTCATCCCTCATCCCTCATCCCTCATCCCTCATCCCTCATCCCTCATCCCTCATCCCTCATCCCTCATCCCTCATCCCTCATCCCTCATCCCTCATCCCTCATCCCTCATCCCTCATCCCTCATCCCTCATCCCTCATCCCTCATCCCTCATCCCTCATCCCTCATCCCTCATCCCTCATCCCTCATCCCTCATCCCTCATCCCTCATCCCTCATCCCTCATCCCTCATCCCTCATCCCTCATCCCTCATCCCTCATCCCTCATCCCTCATCCCTCATCCCTCATCCCTCATCCCTCATCCCTCATCCCTCATCCCTCATCCCTCATCCCTCATCCCTCATCCCTCATCCCTCATCCCTCATCCCTCATCCCTCATCCCTCATCCCTCATCCCTCATCCCTCATCCCTCATCCCTCATCCCATCATCCTCATCCCTCATCCCTCATCCCTCATCCCTCATCCCTCATCCCTCATCCCTCATCCCTCATCCCTCATCCCTCATCCCTCATCCCTCATCCCTCATCCCTCATCCCTCATCCCTCATCCCTCATCCCTCATCCCTCATCCCTCATCCCTCATCCCTCATCCCTCATCCCTCATCCCTCATCCCTCATCCCTCATCCCTCATCCCTCATCCCTCATCCCTCATCCCTCATCCCTCATCCCTCATCCCTCATCCCTCATCCCTCATCCCTCATCCCTCATCCCTCATCCCTCATCCCTCATCCCTCATCCCTCATCCCTCATCCCTCATCCCTCATCCCTCATCCCTCATCCCTCATCCCTCATCCCTCATCCCTCATCCCTCATCCCTCATCCCTCATCCCTCATCCCTCATCCCTCATCCCTCATCCCTCATCCCTCATCCCTCATCCCTCATCCCTCATCCCTCATCCCTCATCCCTCATCCCTCATCCCTCATCCCTCATCCCTCATCCCTCATCCCTCATCCCTCATCCCTCATCCCTCATCCCTCATCCCTCATCCCTCATCCCTCATCCCTCATCCCTCATCCCTCATCCCTCATCCCTCATCCCTCATCCCTCATCCCTCATCCCTCATCCCTCATCCCTCATCCCTCATCCCTCATCCCTCATCCCTCATCCCTCATCCCTCATCCCTCATCCCTCATCCCTCATCCCTCATCCCTCATCCCTCATCCCTCATCCCTCATCCCTCATCCCTCATCCCTCATCCCTCATCCCTCATCCCTCATCCCTCATCCCTCATCCCTCATCCCTCATCCCTCATCCCTCATCCCTCATCCCTCATCCCTCATCCCTCATCCCTCATCCCTCATCCCTCATCCCTCATCCCTCATCCCTCATCCCTCATCCCTCATCCCTCATCCCTCATCCCTCATCCCTCATCCCTCATCCCTCATCCCTCATCCCTCATCCCTCATCCCTCATCCCTCATCCCTCATCCCTCATCCCTCATCCCTCATCCCTCATCCCTCATCCCTCATCCCTCATCCCTCATCCCTCATCCCTCATCCCTCATCCCTCATCCCTCATCCCTCATCCCTCATCCCTCATCCCTCATCCCTCATCCCTCATCCCTCATCCCTCATCCCTCATCCCTCATCCCTCATCCCTCATCCCTCATCCCTCATCCCTCATCCCTCATCCCTCATCCCTCATCCCTCATCCCTCATCCCTCATCCCTCATCCCTCATCCCTCATCCCTCATCCCTCATCCCTCATCCCTCATCCCTCATCCCTCATCCCTCATCCCTCATCCCTCATCCCTCATCCCTCATCCCTCATCCCTCATCCCTCATCCCTCATCCCTCATCCCTCATCCCTCATCCCTCATCCCTCATCCCTCATCCCTCATCCCTCATCCCTCATCCCTCATCCCTCATCCCTCATCCCTCATCCCTCATCCCTCATCCCTCATCCCTCATCCCTCATCCCTCATCCCTCATCCCTCATCCCTCATCCCTCATCCCTCATCCCTCATCCCTCATCCCTCATCCCTCATCCCTCATCCCTCATCCCTCATCCCTCATCCCTCATCCCTCATCCCTCATCCCTCATCCCTCATCCCTCATCCCTCATCCCTCATCCCTCATCCCTCATCCCTCATCCCTCATCCCTCATCCCTCATCCCTCATCCCTCATCCCTCATCCCTCATCCCTCATCCCTCATCCCTCATCCCTCATCCCTCATCCCTCATCCCTCATCCCTCATCCCTCATCCCTCATCCCTCATCCCTCATCCCTCATCCCTCATCCCTCATCCCTCATCCCTCATCCCTCATCCCTCATCCCTCATCCCTCATCCCTCATCCCTCATCCCTCATCCCTCATCCCTCATCCCTCATCCCTCATCCCTCATCCCTCATCCCTCATCCCTCATCCCTCATCCCTCATCCCTCATCCCTCATCCCTCATCCCTCATCCCTCATCCCTCATCCCTCATCCCTCATCCCTCATCCCTCATCCCTCATCCCTCATCCCGCATCCCATCCCTCATCCCTCATCCCTCATCCCTCATCCCTCATCCCTCATCCCTCATCCCTCATCCCTCATCCCTCATCCCTCATCCCTCATCCCTCATCCCTCATCCCTCATCCCTCATCCCTCATCCCTCATCCCTCATCCCTCATCCCTCATCCCTCATCCCTCATCCCTCATCCCTCATCCCTCATCCCTCATCCCTCATCCCTCATCCCTCATCCCTCATCCCTCATCCCTCATCCCTCATCCCTCATCCCTCATCCCTCATCCCTCATCCCTCATCCCTCATCCCTCATCCCTCATCCCTCATCCCTCATCCCTCATCCCTCATCCCTCATCCCTCATCCCTCATCCCTCATCCCTCATCCCTCATCCCTCATCCCTCATCCCTCATCCCTCATCCCTCATCCCTCATCCCTCATCCCTCATCCCTCATCCCTCATCCCTCATCCCTCATCCCTCATCCCTCATCCCTCATCCCTCATCCCTCATCCCTCATCCCTCATCCCTCATCCCTCATCCCTCATCCCTCATCCCTCATCCCTCATCCCTCATCCCTCATCCCTCATCCCTCATCCCTCATCCCTCATCCCTCATCCCTCATCCCTCATCCCTCATCCCTCATCCCTCATCCCTCATCCCTCATCCCTCATCCCTCATCCCTCATCCCTCATCCCTCATCCCTCATCCCTCATCCCTCATCCCTCATCCCTCATCCCTCATCCCTCATCCCTCATCCCTCATCCCTCATCCCTCATCCCTCATCCCTCATCCCTCATCCCTCATCCCTCATCCCTCATCCCTCATCCCTCATCCCTCATCCCTCATCCCTCATCCCTCATCCCTCATCCCTCATCCCTCATCCCTCATCCCTCATCCCTCATCCCTCATCCCTCATCCCTCATCCCTCATCCCTCATCCCTCATCCCTCATCCCTCATCCCTCATCCCTCATCCCAATCCCTCATCCCCATCCCTCATCCCTCATCCCTCATCCCTCATCCCTCATCCCTCATCCCTCATCCCTCATCCCTCATCCCTCATCCCTCATCCCTCATCCCTCATCCCTCATCCCTCATCCCTC